CATCCACGTACAATGTCGCCATATCTTTACAGATATTGCTATCAAAGAAGTGGTGATTTGGGTCCTCAGCTACTGAGGGTTTACTCACAACCGGCTGTTGGGTGGCTAGTACATCCTGTGTACATTCTTGGCAAATTGCCAAATCAGTGCCCAAGTGTGACTTCTTATTTTGACCGTAGCGGATGTCTAGGTTAAAACTCTGAAGTGCCATAAGCCATGTGGCTACACGTGAGTTTGTCACCACACCATCTCTGATGCGTTGGCTGTTTAGAAACGTTACAGGCTGGTGTTGTGTTTCAACAATAATCCTCTGTCCACCAATATAGCAGGAGAAATGTTTCACTGCCCACACAGTGGTCAGTAGAGCCTTCTCACAGTCTGAATACCGTAGTTCAGGGCCTGCCATTGTTTTGCTGGCATAGGCCACAACACGCTTGTCTTTGTCGTGTATTTGGTACAGACCTGCACTTATGCAGTGAGTTGAGAAGCCCACTTCCAAGTAAAACTCTTTGTTGTAGTCTGGGTAGACTAGACATGGGGCTAACTTGAGCCTGTCTTTAAGAGCGTTCATTGCCTGCTGCTGTGTATCAGTCCAGACAAATGGGACGTCTTTCTTTAAGAGTTCAGTCAGTGGCTTTGCGAGGTCCGCATAATGCTCTATGAACTGGCGTGAGTAATTACACATTCCCAGAAAACTCTGTAGTTCTTTGAGATTGGTGGGGACTTTGAGGTTGTCTAGGCCTTGGGTGCGAGTCAATTGTGGTTGTACTCCGTCCGGACCTACTAGGAGGCCAATGTAGTCCACCTTGGTTCTGCACCACTGGCACTTTGACAGTGAGATTTTAGCACCAGCAGTTGTTAGCTGATCTAGGACGTGGTCGATCTCAGCCAAATGAGAGTCCAGTGTTGGTTGCCTCAAAAGGATGTCGTCCACGTAGATCAGTGTCCCATGCTCCTGAGCGTCTGGACATGCTTTGTTCAAAAAGATGTTGAACTCTGCAGGTGAGTTAGCGTAACCAAAGGGACACCTGGTAAAGGTGTATTGTCGGCTGCCAAAAGTGAAAGCTAGTTTGTGTTGGTCCTCGGCGCGCACAGGGATGGTCCAAAAACCAGAGGTGACGTCGAGGGTAGAGAAGTACTTACCATCGGTGACCTTTGGCAGTTCCTGTTGGAGCTGAGTCATTGGCCACCTGGATAAGGGGACTTGTTTATTTAGCTTTCTGTAGTCTATGGTAAGTCTCCACTTACCATTTGGTTTTAAAACTGGCCATAAAGGCGCAGAGTAGGTGCTATTACATTGTCTGATTATACCTTTGACCAAAAGGTCATCAACGATCTCCTGGACAGGCTGATGTGCTGCCAGAGGGATCTTGTATTGTCTGACAAATGTTGGTGGTGCGTTGGGTGGGGTTGGGATGCTCACTGTGTGGAGTGAGGTCAACCCACAATCTGTTGAGTCAGTTGAAAATGACTTTTCATATTTTAAAAGAACTTGGCGAAGTTTGTCCCTTTCTTCATCAGATGTCAGAGCGTCGGCTTGGGCGACCACCTGTTCAATCTGTGATGAGACTGATAAGGGTTCTTGCTCTTTGGGGAGCTCCAACGAATCCCTTTCTGAGTCGTCGGACCTGTCTATGGGTAAGACACCATAGGTTTGAGGTCCTTGGTCGACGTCATCGGTTGAAAAAAGAGCTATGGCCTGTGTTGGTTTTGTGAACCATACTGGCCCAGCTTCTTGACTTGGTACCAGGTTATCTGGGAGTCCTCCCAGAAATGGAATGCCTAGTTCAAAATCATGAAAATCAGTAGAAATCAACCATCCTAGCATAGTGTTTTTTGGGATCATCACCTCATCCGTGCCTGTGTTACACACAGCAACAGATGTGGTCCTGGAGTCAAGGTTCACTTGGTTTGTGGCTTCCACGGACAGTCCCAAGTTGAAAAATGCAGGAGAAGGTTGAAAATATGCCTGTTTATGGCTAATAGCTTGTCCAGCTACGATGTGGATTTGCACCATTAGGTTAATCACCTGAGGTGGTACTGTGGTGGTTTGGTTGTTAGCAACCTGGCAGGCCTCTGGAATGGTCTGCCCAGCCTTAAGATTTGCTGTGTCTAGCACAGGAGGATCCTTTGTGGCTGGTTTTAGGGACCACAACACCTTGTTGATGGTGTCCACATGGACACCCAACCTTATCAAAATGTCAGAGCCTATGTAGGTTGCATGTGGTAAGTTTTGGATCACGAAAAAAGGATGAACCAGTTCTCGTTGGTTCCAGTTTAGTTTTAGGTTAATGACTCCTTCCGCAGTCATTACCTGTAAACTATTGGGAACTAATGGAAAGCGGAAAGCTTTTTTAATTAGTTCTAGACCCACGTGTTTGTGAACCAAGGTTTCATAGAAAGCTCGGTTAATTGCTGATTTATCTGTCCACAGAGACAGAACAGCATCGTTGGTGTGGGATCCTTGGATCTCTACACCTTTAACTACCAGTGGTAGGTAGTGTTTGGTGGACTCTGACTGCTCCAGCTCACAGAGGAGGCTTTCCTGTTGGGTCAGAGTTTGGACCACCGGGTGGGTCTCTTTGGTTTCACATGATTTCAGAGGAATACTCACCGGGCTTGTGTCCTCGGCTGGGGAGTCCTTTGCGCCTTCCGCGGTACCTGCTGTTAGGCAGTCTGTGTTACACTCCGGAGGCATTTCTATTGGCAGTGGTTTGCTCACCTTGGCCCACATCGTCTGATCACCATAATCTATAATCGCGTCGAAGTGATTTATAAAATCCTGGCCAACCAAAAATGGGAATGAGTCAACACTAGACACGTGTACCGGGTGGTATAGTGTCATTCTGCCAATCTGCATGTGAACCATTGCTATAGCTGTCAGGGTTGTCCTCTTCTCTGAGAGACCCTGCATTTCTACAGCACATTCTGTGAGAGGTATTACCCTGTTAACACTGCCAGCGGCTGTCCTCAGCTCCTCGAACAGTTTAGCTGACATAATTGTTATGTCCGCCCCACCGTCCAGTAGTGCTTCATGTGTGAGGACTCCTTCGAGTGTTATTGACAGGTACGCCTTCTTGGCGACCCCCCTTCTGATAAAGTTACACAGAAACCTCTTAGGTTTTTTCTGACGTTTCTTCACACGCTCAGCCTTGTCTGTGTAACCTTGGTTTGTCTGAACCGTCAGCACAGCAGTAGCTGTTTCTGAGTGTTCAGCTTGCGATGACTCGTCATCGTTTGTGTGTGAGTTCACCCCCCTTCTTCTGATGAGGGGTTGTTGGAGGTCACAACAACAATGTCTTGGTGTGTTCTACCGACATCTGTGATGTTGTCATTCGCGCCCTCAGATTTAATAGCGATTACATCACTACATAGTGCTCCAGGTTGGTTTCCCGTGTCAGTGTGTTTCAAAGTTTCTAACAACCTGCGTAGTTTCTCTGTCTCTTCCGAGCTCAGAGGTGTAGGGCCTTGTTTCTGGAACCTTTGTGATTTTTTCACCTCGGGTCGTTTTGTCCGAGGTGGAGGAAGGTTAGGTACGTCATTTGGGGGTTCCTTTTCGGACTTCCCCTGATAATATGGGTCACCATATCTCTTCGTCCTACGCACACCCCACTTACGATAATCACGTTCATCCTCTGGAAATAAATTCAATCCCTTTAGATCTTTTTTGTCCCAGCGTGCACCTTCATGACGCGGTTTGTTAGTTTGAAAAGACTGCTTTTTCTCGCCTTTTTTAGGAGGGGGAGGCGACACGCGCCGTCCTTCCAGTTCTAGCGAATGGGGTTTAACCTTTACACCAGGAAACACCTCTATGGGCGTCTTAACATGAGAACAGGCCTCAAACACATTCACAGCACACTGTTTAATCTCATTGATGGATTTTTCCTTGAAATTAGCCATCATTTGTACTGACGTTCTTATGTCAGTGTGGAGGTTTTTGCTGAAAACAAATTTAAAACTTTCTTCCTCCTCCATGCCGGTTTCATTCCTGTAACCAAAATAAGCTTGGAAGATTCTTTTGTAATAAACCTTTGGATGTTCATGCTTCCCTTGCGTGACCTTGTCTGCAGCTGGGAAGCCACCAGGCCCCGTGCAGGGGTCGTATTCTCTGATCAAAGCTTCACACAGAAGGTTGTAATCCCTTCTCGTGGCATCAGGTTGACACTCGATGAAGGTGAACACCTCTCTGTCTGAAGTGAGCCTTATCAGACTGATTTTATCTGCATTAGGATAACCACTCAGTCTGAAATCAAGGTAATTTAGATACGCCTTCGTACCAGTAGACCCCATAGGCCCAGGAATAAAGTGTTGAACATATTTTGAGATTTTTTGCAAATCCGAAATTGGGAGCAAAGGCTGTATTATCGGTATCGTAGGAACCAAAATGGCACGTGGAGGTGTGTCGCTAGACACATGTGGAGGTGACAGAATGAGATTAAGAGCAGGAGGTGCACCAAAATCCTTCTGAGGTGATGGTGGGTGACCTGGACTCTGACCTTGTTCGTCTTTGAGTTCCAGACAAGCTCGCCCCACGTCAGAAATCTCATTTGTTGCTACGGCTAGTTTCTCCTCACAGGCTTTTAAGCGTTCCTGTGATGTTTGACATTCACTTTGTAAACGCACGCCTTGTTGTACTAACGCCGCCTTTTCCAATCTGCATTCGTTCAGAGCTTTTGATGTGAGCTGCAACTGTTGTTGTAGCGTATCGTTGTCTGAACACAGTGCTTGGTACTTAACCTCTCTTTCCCTTATCTTCTCCTCATATGAGTGAGCTTGTAATGACAGCTGAGCTTGTGAGAGCTCTCTGTCACGTTGTAACTCATTCGCACGGGTCTCCTGATCAAAGTTAGACTGTGCCATGAGTTTGAGGTACTCCTCTTTTTTGCTGTTTAACCTTATTGCAAGGTCGTCAGCCTTGTTTACCACAGCATAGAATGTTGCTTTCAATAAGAGCGCCAATTTAGCCAGCTGGTCATAGCTTGACTCTGTTCTGTCTGTAGAGGTCACACTCTCTGCAACATCCTTCAGCTCGTCCAATAACTCTTTTGAGTTCATGCTGTCCACCTGTTCACCATATGGATGTAAGGATTCTGTGAGCGGCGTCAACGCTCTCTCTAACCAGTCCTTCATCTCACAAGGATCAATATTCTTTTCTGTCACACCTGCCATGGTTATTCACTGTTCAGCACTTATCTGGTTAAATAATTGCCAACTTTAGAGTTTTCAACAGGTAAATATTTGTATTTAAGTTATCAGTGAGTCTCACACACTATTTTAGCTCTGGGTTCACTCAACAGTACTGTATAAGCCAACTTATTCAAAGGAATGGGCACCTATTTGTAGGATTCACCCCAAAGCATGAATATTCTAAGTAAATGCCTCCTTCTGGCAGTGTTACTTAATGTGCTTATTTTTCAACAGATACAAGAACCAGGCCTATTTCAGTGTTCATTTACTCTAAAGCACTTAAAATTAAATAAACCTGCAATATTCTAAAATTTTTCAAACGCTTGTTAAGCAGTTCTATATACCAGAAATTTGCTATTTAAAACAGTCACTCATAAACCAGGCTGTATGAACAAAAAAAGAAAAGAAAAAAAATGAGAGGAATTATCAGTCTCCCTTTAAGGAAAACTGTTATACTCCTCTTTCCACAGCAGGTGGCGGTGTAAGCTTATTTATACCAGCAGGAGTCTATGACAACTTCCTGTGGATCGTTCCGTTGACATCCGGTTGTTAGCCTTTAGCTAGAATTAGCATCGGCTGAACAAGGTCACATCAGCGTTTCTGAACGGGTTTAAAGCTTAAACGTGGCGTCGCTTTAACAAGCACGTCTATCTGCATGAACACATGAGTTTTGGGAGCAGTGGCAGCTCCATTTAGCGATTTTAAACACAGAGGAGGCTTCGGTTGAACCGAGATTCATTTCCGGGGTCACATGATTGAATCAACCAATGAGCAACGGGGTGGGTTTTACAATCTGACATCAGAGGGAGTGAACGCAGACACGTCACCCATTTCTCAGCGAATCAGAGCGACCCAAACAGCGGTTTTCAACCAATCTCAGTTTGTTATTCCAGCTAGCTGTGTTAGCCTGAAAAAGTCCGGTCAACTTTCGTCCATTAACCTTCAAAATGTACGGTTTTACTGCTACAAATGTAACGAAGTCCTTTCAACAGTGGTCTGAGACGGCGCTCAGCTTCAAAACAGCATTTTATCCATTCAAAACACGACTCGTTCAATGAATCTGAACCGAGTCCGAGAGCAGAACCGGGTCAGACAGAACCCGTTCCTCTGCGACCGTTTAAACAGAATAAAGCGTTTTTCCACAGCATGACAGCTTCAGTTACACAACAGATGTACAAATTTCAGCTTTAAAATGAACACATTGACATAAATTTCAGCTCTAAAAACAGTGTTTTTCTTAGAACACCGACTCGTCCGAGCCGTTATCTAGAACCGAACTGGATCAGTACCAGAACCACACAGCTGATAACAGTTTCAAACAGGGCAAGTCACCTTCCCACAGCTGAAAACATATCACTGTATTTTCTCTGAGCACCACAGCTGAAAAACATTGCTTTTTACAGTCGAACAGAAATCTGCACTTTTTATGCCAACATGCAGTTCAAGTATTACACAAATAACAAAGTCCATTCCATGAGACGTACGGTGCAACCAGTATGTAATGAGACAGCCGAGAGATGGATTTAGCTCAGGGGTGCTCTCTTATGTTTTATAATATCTGGACAAGTTCAAGTACATGATATTATACTTAATTTAAACGGATTCTTTCATTTTTCTGGACTAAGTGATATTGTACTTAGAAGTACTGTGTCGGAAATGGTCTAATCAGTGACATGAGACGTTAATTTTCTTTGACCCATCAAAATGAACGTGGTCATTTATTAACAGAATCAAAATTTAACATCAAAACATTGTATACTTGATTATTCTGATTGATTACAATAACAGCTTAATTAATGAGCTTTACAATGAGAAATCATACGGCCATGATTTCTCACTTGCAACTAAAAACAACAGACATTTCCTTAGATCTTAAATTAATGTCTGCAGGCTTAGCTTATCTTTTACTGGCAGAGAAATATAGAGATTGAGTAAAGTTTAAGAAGGGAAAGTGGATACTTAGGGTTAACTAAGATAATAAAGAAAAGATGGGGAGTTATCTTGTTTGAAACCAGATAGCACGTTTCCCGGTGATTTCAGCTAGATGGTACCCGAGCGTCGACTCTTTACCTTGGTGGGGTTTCAGAGAAGCCTTCTCCTGGCGTCCAGCAAGGCTGAGTCTTTTTACCTCTAGGGATTTATCCGCTTCTCATCAACTTGGGATGACGAGGCTGACTGGCCCAGCTTCCAAAATAAACTTCCCCGAAAGATAGGGTTAAGTTAAGTGGAATTTCAGCAAACATGCTGAACTCCTGAGATGTTGAATAGGTCTTTGGCGTAATGACCGGAATCAACACTCCAGACAGGTGTCATCTTTCAGAAAATGACCAGCGTGGACTTCACCCTTGCAAAGTCACACTGTCTTCCTTCTCCATGGAACTTCTGTTCTCTCCAGAACTTAGGATCATGCTCCCAGAACTAACTGGAACTAGGAAGTGTCGACTTTTAAAGAGTTCTGCTTCCGGTCCCTTTTGGGAAGTCCTGATTGGTTGAAAGAACCAACAGGGGTGTGGTTTTAGTGACGTAAGAGGTTACTACAAGTCAGAAAAACAGAGAAATGTTTAGGAACAGACAGAGAAATGTTTTGGAGAAATGACAGACTACAGGTGCTAGTTCATCTTGTTTCTGTCTGAGAGGTTTAAAAACATGACAGTTCGTTCCAATAACTTCTTTCTGACTTTCGACCGACATCACTACTTCTCATTTCAGACAGAAGATCAAAAAATGCATAATTACTTTGTAACAGACATTAACTTGATTTATACTTTGAATGAGGATTAAAAAATCATTAATACTGTTTCACAGTTGATTTAAAATGAGTAGTTCACTTCAACATTTAAAATGATTTGAACTAAACACACTTTTGATTATCAAGACATTTGTAAAAATAGTAATGACAATATAAAAAGAGAGTGTTCTTTCAATTGATTAGTTCAGGATACAAATTAGAAAGTCTCTGGATGAGCTAATTTGTATTTCTGGATTCAAATCAATGAAATAACAGTTCCTGTCCCATTAAGGTCTTCAGGGTCAGGTTTTGACCGGAGGCTTAGTTCACTACACTGTTAACTGATGACGTGAACTCCGCTTGGAACTTTTTTCATAATAGTTTCATTTATTTTCTGAACAAACATGCTCCTTTTCGTCAGTTCAGAATAAAGGGACGAGAAAGCCCGTGGTTTACTCCAGAGCTAGCTGACCTCCTGCACAGGAGAGATCATCTTTGGGCCACAGCGAGAAAATCTGACATGGACACTGATTGGTTGAGTTTTCGACAGATGAGGAATAAATGTACAACTGTTGTCAAAGCAGCAAAACGCAACTATTTCTTATCTCAGACATCCAAAAATCTAAATGACCCTAACAGATTCTGGAAAACCATCAAATCTCTCTCAGGCACCCCCCAATCATCTGACCTCCCATCACAACTTCTCATTAACTCTGTTCCTGTGTCAAATAAGCACGAGATCCTGAACTGTTTCAACAAACATTTTGTTGCTTCTAGTTCTTTATTTGACGCAGTTACTAACAGAATATCAGCCACTTCACTTAATAACCGAACTTCTACAAATCAAATCCCTCCTACAAGTCAATCCTCAGTTAATCACAGCTTCTCTTTTTCTCCATTCTCATTCAGTGAGGTCAATAAACTATTAAAAGATCTTGACCCTAAAAAATCTGCAGGTCCAGATGAACTTCCACCTTACTTCTTAAGGCTGGCTGCTCATATCATCACAGTCCCTGTGACCCACATCTTCAATCTCTCCATAAGACAAAACTCCATCCCAGACACTTGGAAACAGCCTTTGTTCTTCCTTTGCTGATGGGAGGTGACCCCACCTCACTGAACAACTATGGACCAATCTCTGAACTCTGTATTTTAGCCAAGGTTCTAGAAAAACTGATAAACTCTCAAATCAAAAATTACCTGGACTCATTTAACATCTTACCTCCACATCAATCTGGTTTCAGGAAACAACACAGCACAACCACTGCTTCACTGAAGGTTCTTAAAGACGTTGTTGAAGCACTGGATGCTAAGGATTATTGTGCTGCACTTTTCTTAGACCTGTCTAAAGTTTTTGATACTGTGGATCATAACATCTTGTGTCATAAACTCTCAGAAATCGGTTTCTCAGAACACACCATTGGTTGGTTCTCTAACTATCTTTCAGACCGGAGGCAATGTGTTCAACATAATGGTACTTCCTCCAGTTATTTAACAGTCAACAATGGTGTACCACAAGGCTCAGTCTTAGGACCCACCCTCTTTACAATCTACATACATAATGTAGGTTAAAACATCCCTAATGCATCCATATATTTCTATGCTGACGACACAGTTGTTTATTGCCGAGCTAAAATTGTTGCTAAGGCTTTCCAACTTTTGAAATCTGCATTCAACTACATCCAGACAGATTTGTTCCGCCTCAAACTTGTCCTAAATGCTGACAAAACCAAAGGGATGCTTTTTTCAAATAGGAAGTTGGGTCCCAGCAGTTCTTCCTCCGGTTTTATCCTCAAATGGTGTCCCCATTGAGTTTGTTGATTCCTATAAATATTTGGGTATCTTGGTCGACTCACCTCTTTAAAGCTCCATGTGGAAAACTTGGTAAAGAAACTGAAAGTTAAACTGGGTTTCTTTTTCAGAAACAGATCCTGTCTAACCCTGAATGCTAGAAAACGCCTTGTATCTGTGACTTTCCTTCCCTCCATTGATTATGGTGACATTATTTACATGAACGCTCCTACAAGAACCCTGCAGATGTTGGATGCTGTCTATCACGGTGCACTAAGATTCATAACTGGCTGTGATTATCGTACCCACCACTGCACCCAGTATTCACTGGTTAACTGGACATCATTAACTTCACGCAGACTCTCTCACTGGTACATTTTCATCTTTAAATCACTTCTTGGTCTGCTGCCTTCATGCATCTCCTCCTACATGTCTCTGCGTGAGTGCAGCAACAGAGTGCGCTCTCAGGACATTATTACCTGCAGTGTTCCCTCAATGAGGACTGAACTAGGCAAAAGGGCCTTCTCCTACTCCGCTCCTGTTTCCTGGAATATCTTACAAAAAGATTTGAAGCTCTCGACCTTGACCTCTCTAAGTGGCTTTAAGAATCTGTTGGACTCCTGGCAGGGACCAATGCAGACATGTTCCTGTTTTTAGTTTTCTACATTCGCCTTAGAATCTAGCTGTTTTTTTTTTGTTACCTTTTTCTTTTAGCCATCCTATTTGGTAAAAAATAAATTAAAAAAACCTGCAGTATTACTTTTTATAATTGTTTATTGTTGTTGCTGTTGTCCATTGTTGTCATCTTTCTTTGTTGAAATCAGGTCTCTCTTGTAAATGAGTCCTCGAGGCTCAATGGGATTTACCTGTAGAAATAAAGGTTGAATGAATGAGTTAAGGGCCCTGCATATTCCATCTGAAGCGGCAAAATCATCTCTCATTGAGTAGTTGCGTGAATAAAATAGTCATTTTGTTCTCAGAGCAGGTTCGCCTGCCCTTTATCTAGATAAGGCCCAGGCTGAAGTTTTCTCACAGGTGTACGCGTCAAGTATTGTGTTGGTCAGAAGTTTGTGGGCGTGCTCATCAATGCAGAAATGTGCTTGGCCATTCAGCTGTATGACTCTTCACACATACTAAAGTAGTCAAATGGCCAAAATCTCCTGGATGGAGATTGTCCAGACATTGTGTACGGAGGAGTCTGTCTGCTGAAAAGTCTGGCGCTTTCTTCATGATAGATTTGTGGAATAACGGTGGCTGCAGGGACGGAGTGAAGACTTAGGTGGGAAAAAACCTGTGCAATGACATATACAGGTACGTCAGTGGGAGGGGTTTCCCATGAGCTCTGCACCTGTCTCGTGGACTAAGAAAGGAGTTTGCGAAAATGACCGTCCCGCAACCACGTGACTGCGAGTCGACTGTTTGACTTTGGATGGGGTATGCTGGGCCCTTAACACTGTGTAGAAGAACAGTGACAGCACAGAGTGACGGCTCCTGGCGAGTGGAGGAAGCAGTCTATCCACTGCCAGGCACAATGACAGAGTGAGGGGTCAAGTCCCATAGATTAATCTTTAGCCATTCCACCAGCACCTCAGTCATTTGAAACATTACTATTAAGCAATATACAATACTGGAAAGCCTTTATCTACATGGTCCTGGATAAAATTGCTCCTTCCACTCGCCAAGATCTGTCAATCTGCATTGCCTCAGAAAAATAAAAGAAGGCAACTTATTTTATTTTTCACCACAGTGCAACTCCTACTCTCTTGAATAACTTGCACCAAAAACATTAAGGTTTACTGTCATTCCCTCTTCAGTTCCTGTCAAGAAATATGCTTAACTTGAAAACTACAAACCCTAAATACTTCTGAACTTGCAATCCACCTGCAGCTGAAGTTGAAAAAACCTGCTCTAAGTTCTGACCCTTCATATTGGTAATAGGAATGCAATGCTCAAAGGTTTGTGTTTATTTTAGTTTCCTGTTTATTGCTGATGATGCTGTCAGTAAAATGTTTGTGATTTGTTTTCACCTTAGATACTGAACATTGAGCGGGTTCAGGCTCTAGAGGACTGGCTGAAAACCACTGACACAAAGCTGACACAAGTTAACGGGCAGAGGAAGTATGGAAGGCCACCTGTGGGTAGGATCCTGAAGCAGAGAATACCTCTAAACACACGGGCACAGGAAGATATAATAATAAAGATAATAATTAAATTCCATCCATCCATCTATTATCTTTACCCGTTTATTCCATTTTGGGTCACGGGGGTCGCTGGTGCCCATGTCCAGCAATCACTGTGCGAGGGGCAGTACACCCTGGACGGGTCGCAAGTCCATCACAGGGCCACATAGAGACAAACGAGACAAACAACCATTCACTCTCTCACTCACACTTAGGGACAATTTAGAGTCACCAATCAGCCTAACATGCATGTTTTTGGTCTGTGGGAGGAAACCGGAGTACCCGGAGAAAACCCACGCATGCACGGAGAGAACATGCAAACTCCACCCAGAAAGGCCCCTGGACCGGGGTTGAACCAAGGACCTTCTCGCTGAGAGGCAGCAGCTCAACCAGTTGCGCCACCGTGCTGCATAATTAAATTCAATTCAGTTTATTTAAGATGGCCAAGGATGGCCGGAAGGCAAGGAAGGCAAGATGGCCACGCTCAGAGCAGTTGCAGCTTCACAGGCTCCCGGTACCATCCCAGTTTTTAGAAGTTTTGATATTGACTCTGTGCCTGACTCAGCGCGATTTATGCGTGTGAACTATAGCTGAACCGAACTGAGGAGAATAGGATCGGATTTGCCACAAAATATAGCAGAAATCAGCAAAAAACTCAAAACTACGCTCGGCAGAATGCAGATCTTAAAGTCATCTACCTGGAAGCTGCAGCAGAGGCGTTCCAGCGGGCAGAAGAGGAAGCGCTGCTCCCGGCTTAAGAGGAGAGGATGCCGGGCGGGGGTTATGGTGAGGCTACGAGCTAACGCTAAAGCCGGTAAACTCCCCATGCCGTCTCTCTTTCTGTCGAATGTCCGCTTGTTGGTGTAGATGAACATATGCATGATATATATTCATAAATTAAACGGATTCTTTCATTTTTTTCTGGACTGGATAATATCGTGCATTGAATTATTAAAAACGTAACGTGAGTCTAATATGTCTAAATCTATTTTGGATTTTGTGTCCCAAAATGGATATGTAGATCCATGGAGGACACGGAATCCACTAACAAGGACCTATTCTTTTTACTCTCAAATACACCAATCCTATTCCCGTATAGATTATTTTTTTGTTGATAGCTCTTTAATGCAGAGAGTCACGTCTTCTGAATACTATCCGATTGTTATTTCAGACCATTCTCCTCTAAGCATTGATATAAATTTTATAAACAAACCCAATTCTAGTCCTCGTTGGAGATTTAATACTCTCCTGTTATCAGATGAGCCATTTAATAAATTCATCTTATCATCAATTGATGATTTTCTAAGGTTCAATAAGAGCGATACAATTTCTCCCTCACTACTGTGGGAAACATTAAAAGCTTATCTTCGGGGTCAGATTATCTCTTTTTCAGCTAATATTAATAAAAATCTACGCACTAAGATATCAGAAATATCAACAAAAATTCAGAATATTGATAGGCAAAATGCCGTTAATCCGTCACATGATTTGCTGAAACAGCGACAGGATCTTCAGATGGAACTTGATCTTTTAACTACATCTGATGCGGAGCGACTCTTGATACGATCTCGAGCCACTTATTATGAACATGGGGAAAAACCAAGTAGACTTCTGGCACATCAATTGAAACGAAAAGCTGGCTCTCACATAATATCACAAATTAACGATCGGTCGGGCAATCTTGTTTCAGATCCTGTCTCTATTAATGATACTTTTAAAAAATTCTACTGCAATTTGTACAAGTCTGAACTACAAGCAGACTCAAATGAGCTATGTGCCTTTCTTCAGGATATTGACATACCTAGGATAGACAAATTGCTTTCTGACCAACTTGAAGCTCCCATTAAATTAGAAGAAATATTTGCGTCAATTAAGGATATGCAAAGTGGTAAAACACCTGGCTCAGATGGTTTCTCTGCCGAATTTTTCAAAAAATTTAAAGATAAAATAGCCCCTCTTCTTCTTGAGGTTTATAATGAGTCATTTGGGCAGGGCTTGTTGCCTCCCACCTTGACTCAGGCCTCAATTTCTCTCCTGTTAAAGAAGGATAAGGATCCTACTGCCTGCGAGTCCTATAGACCTCTTTCACTTTTGAATGTGGATTTTAAGATTTTGTCTAAAGTACTCGCGACTCGGCTTGAGACAGTTCTCCCTCGGATTATTTCACAAGAACAGAATGGATTCATTAAAGGTCGCCAGTTGTTTTTTAATACTCGTACACTGTTGAATACAATTTTTTCAACTCATTCCTCTAAATCTCCTGAAGTGATAATTTCTCTTGATGCCGAGAAAGCTTTTGATCGAGTGGAATGGGAATATCTTTTTGCTGTTCTTAATGGGTTTGGTTTTGGAGAGAGGTTTGTGTCTTGGATCAAGCTACTTTATACATCCCCTCAAGCATGTATTCTCAGTAATTCCGTCCAATCTGATTATTTTACGGTGGGACGTGGTACTAGACAGGGTTGCCCTCTTTCTCCCCTCTTGTTTGCGTTAGCCATTGAACCCCTATCCGTTGCTCTAAGATCCCTTTCTTCTTTTCATGGAATCGTCCGCTCTGGTGTCGAGCTTAAATTGTCCTTATATGCAGATGACCTTCTCCTGTATGTCTCTGACCCTTTACGGAGTCTTCCCCCAATTTTAAATATTCTAGAAAAATTTGGATCATATTCTGGCTATAAAATTAACTCACTTAAAAGTGAATGCTATCCAGTGAATTCATTAGCTTTAAAGCTTAAGCCTTCTGATATCCCTTTTAGGCTCAGTCCCTCGGGATTTAGGTACTTAGGAATTAATATTACACGTACTTTGCCCTCAATGTTTTCTCAGAATTATGCCTCACTAGTTTCCCAAATTGCATCAGATTTACAGAGATGGAACTCTCTCCCTCTTTCATTGATTGGTAGGATTAATATTATCAAAATGAATGTGCTACCTAGACTTTTGTTTTTATATCAAAATATCCCTCTGTTCTTGCCCAAACAGTTCTTCAGGTCCCTAGATCAGATGGTCTCATCTTTTTTATGGAACGGAAAGGCCCCCAGAATGAGACTTTCTTTATTACAACAGTTCACCACAAACGGGGGTCTTTCTCTACCTAATTTTACAATGTATTACTGGTCCTCACATATCCATAAACTGACTTATTGGTTAAATTCACCTGATCTGATTTGGTGTAAACTTGAAATTCAGTCGATTTCTGCATCTTTTTCGCCCGCTTCAATTATTTATTCATCATTACCAATTAAATTATCCTCAGTTACTACAAATCCTATAGTGCTCTCAACACTCAGGATCTGGTCACAATTTAGGTCCCACTTTAAATTTGTATCACCCTCTAATAAAATGCCGTTACTAAAGAATCACATTTTTTCTCCAGCATCTAATAATGCTGCCTATAGAATTTGGTATGAGAAAGGTATTAGAACAATGAGAGACCTGTACGAAGATGGTTTATTTCTTAGTTTTTCAGAATTGTCTTCTAAATTTAATCTACCCACTTCACATTTGTTTCTTTACTTCCAAATTAGGCATTGCGTTTCATCGCAGTTTCAAAATTTTCTAACTTTGCCTACTGACCCACCATGGGTTGAACTCTTAGTTTTGAGCCCCAATTTGAAATCTCCTCTTTCAATTATTTATGGAAAACTTATGGCAATAGAGGCCGATTCATCGGGTAAAACTAGAACTGCATGGGAACGTGAACTGGGTGTTAAACTATCAGATTCATGGTGGGATAAAGTTATTCTCAGCATACGTCAGAGTACACCATGTGCCAGACTACAGTTAATACAATTTAAAGTAATAAATAGAGTACACTTCTCAAAAACACGTTTATCTAAAATGTTCCCCTCAATACCAGACCAGTGTGATAGATGTCAGACTTCACCTTGCAACTTAAGTCATATGTTCTTTTTCTGCCCAAAACTGCAAGGGTTTTGGAAATATTTTTTCTCCATA